TTATCCTCAGATTATCCTCAGACTACTCCTCAGATTATCCTCAGACTACTCCTCAGATTATCCTCAGACTACTCCTCAGATTATCCTCAAACTCCTCCTCAGATTATCCTCAAACTCCTCAAACTCCTCCTCAGATTATCCTCAGACTACTCCTCAGATTATCCTCAGACTACTCCTCAGATTATCCTCAGACTACTCCTCAGATTATCCTCAGACTACTCCTCAGATTATCCTCAGACTACTCCTCAGATTATCCTCAGACTCCTCCTCAGATTATCCTCAGACTACTCCTCAGATTATCCTCAAACTCCTCAGACTACTCCTCAGATTATCCTCAGACTCCTCCTCAGATTATCCTCAGACTACTCCTCAGATTATCCTCAGACTACTCCTCAGATTATCCCAGACTCCTCCTCAGATTATCCTCAAACTACTCCTCAGATTATCCTCAAACTCCTCAGACTACTCCTCAGATTATCCTCAGACTCCTCCTCAGATTATCCTCAGACTACTCCTCAGTCTAATCCTCAGACTACTCCTCAGTCTAATCCTCAGACAACTCCTCAGATTATCCTCAGACAACTCCTGAAACTACTCAGATTATCCTCAAATCCTCGGTCTAATCCTCAAACTACTCCTCAGACTACTCCTCAGACTCCTCAGATTATCCTCAAACTCCTCAGACTACTCCTCAAACTCCTCAGATTATTCCTAAGACTACTCCTCAGATTATCTCTAATCCTCAGACTATCCTCAGATTATCCTCAGACTACTCCTCAGATTATCCTCAGATTATCCTCAGACTACTCCTCAGATTATCCTCAGACTACTCCTCAGATTATCCTCAGACTACTCCTCAGATTATCCTCAAACTCCTCCTCAGATTATCCTCAAACTCCTCCTCAGTTTATCCTCAGACTACTCCTCAGATTATCCTCAGACTACTCCTCAGATTATCCTCAAACTCCTCCTCAGATTATCCTCAAACTCCTCAAACTACTCCTCAGATTATCCTCAAGCTCCTCCTCAGTTTATCCTCAAACTCCTCCTCAGATTATCCTCAAACTCCTCCTCAGATTATCCTCAGACTACTCCTCAGATTATCCTCAAACTCCTCCTCAGATTATCCTCAAACTCCTCAGACTACTCCTCGGTCTAATCCTCAGACTACTCCTCAGACTACTCCTCAAACTCCTCAGATTATCCTCAAACTCCTCCTCAGATTATCCTCAGACTACTCCTCAGATTATCCTCAGACTACTCCTCAGATTATCCTCAGACTACTCCTCAGATTATCCTCAGACTACTCCTCAGATTATCCTCAGACTCCTCCTCAGATTATCCTCAGACTACTCCTCAGATTATCCTCAAACTCCTCCTCAGATTATCCTCAAACTCCTCCTCAGATTATCCTCAGACTACTCCTCAGATTATCCTCAAACTCCTCCTCAGATTATCCTCAGACTACTCCTCAGATTATCCTCAGACTACTCCTCAGATTATCCTCAGACTACTCCTCAGATTATCCTCAGACTACTCCTCAGATTATCCTCAGACTACTCCTCAGATTATCCTCAGACTCCTCCTCAGATTATCCTCAGACTACTCCTCAGATTATCCTCAAACTCCTCCTCAGATTATCCTCAAACTCCTCCTCAGATTATCCTCAGACTACTCCTCAGATTATCCTCAAACTCCTCAGACTCCTCCTCAGATTATCCTCAGACTCCTCCTCAGATTATCCTCAGACTACTCCTCAGTCTAATCCTCAGACAACTCCTCAGATTATCCTCAGACTCCTCCTCAGATTATCCTCAGACTACTCCTCAGTCTAATCCTCAGACAACTCCTCAGATTATCCTCAGACTACTCCTCAGATTATCCTCAGACTACTCCTCAGTCTAATCCTCAGACAACTCCTCAGATTATCCTCAGACAACTCCTGAAACTACTCAGATTATCCTCAAACTCCTCGGTCTAATCCTCAAACTACTCCTCAGACTACTCCTCAGACTCCTCAGATTATCCTCAAACTCCTCAGACTACTCCTCAAACTCCTCAGATTATCCTAAGACTACTCCTCAGATTATCCTCTAACTCCTCAGACTACTCCTCAGATTATCCTCAAACTCCTCAGACTACTCCTCAGATTATCCTCAGACTACTCCTCAGATTATCCTCAGACTACTCCTCAGTCTAATCCTCAGACAACTCCTCAGATTATCCTCAGACTCCTCCTCAGATTATCCTCAGACTCCTCCTCAGATTATCCTCAGACTACTCCTCAGTCTAATCCTCAGACAACTCCTCAGATTATCCTCAGACTCCTCCTCAGATTATCCTCAGACTACTCCTCAGTCTAATCCTCAGACAACTCCTCAGATTATCCTCAGACTACTCCTCAGATTATCCTCAGACTACTCCTCAGTCTAATCCTCAGACAACTCCTCAGATTATCCTCAGACAACTCCTGAAACTACTCAGATTATCCTCAAACTCCTCGGTCTAATCCTCAAACTACTCCTCAGACTACTCCTCAGACTCCTCAGATTATCCTCAAACTCCTCAGACTACTCCTCAAACTCCTCAGATTATCCTAAGACTACTCCTCAGATTATCCTCAGATTATCCTCAGACTACTCCTCAGATTATCCTCAGACTCTTCCTCAGACTCTTCCTCAGATTATCCTCAAACTCCTCAGACTACTCCTCAGATTATCCTCAGATTATCCTCAGACTACTCCTCAGATTATCCTCTAACTCCTCAGACTACTCCTCAGATTATCCTCAGATTATCCTCAGACTACTCCTCAGATTATCCTCTAACTCCTCAGACTACTCCTCAGATTATCCTCAGATTATCCTCAGACTACTCCTCAGATTATCCTCAGACTCTTCCTCAGACTCTTCCTCAGACTCTTCCTCAGATTATCCTCAAACTCCTCGGTCTAATCCTCAAACTACTCCTCAGACTACTCCTCAAACTCCTCAAATTATCCTCAGACTCCTCAGACTACTCCTCGGTCTAATCCTCAAACTCCTCAGACTACTCCTCAAACTCCTCAGATTATCCTCAGACTCCTCCTCAGATTATCCTCAGACTCCTCCTCAGATTATCCTCAGACTACTCCTCGATCTAATCCTCAAACTCCTCCTCAGTTTATCCTCAAACTCCTCCTCAGATTATCCTCAGACTCTTCCTCAGATTATCCTCAGACTACTCCTCAGATTATCCTCAGACTACTCCTCAAACTCCTTAGATTATCCTCAAACTCCTCAGACTACTCCTCAAACTCCTCAGATTATCCTCAGACTCCTCCTCAGATTATCCTCAGACTCCTCCTCAGATTATCCTCAGACTACTCCTCGATCTAATCCTCAAACTCCTCCTCAGTTTATCCTCAAACTCCTCCTCAGATTATCCTCAGACTCTTCCTCAGATTATCCTCAGACTACTCCTCAGATTATCCTCAGACTACTCCTCAAACTCCTTAGATTATCCTCAAACTCCTCAGACTACTCCTCGGTCTAATCCTCAAACTACTCCTCAGACTACTCCTCAAACTCCTCAGATTATCCTCAAACTCCTCAGACTACTCCTCAAACTCCTCAAATTATCCTCAAACTCCTCAGATTATCCTCAAACTCCTCAAATTATCCTCAAACTCCTCAGATTATCATCAAACTCCTCAAACTACTCCTCGGTCTAATCCTCAGACTCCTCCTCAGATTATCCTCAGATTATCACTTTACATATATATATCGATAACTAAATAATTACTTATTATACTTTCTTTATTTTTTTAATTTTAAAATAATATTAATATATCTTTCTATGTTTAATGATGAAAAGAGAAAGAGGAGTAAAAAGAGGAAAGAGAAAAGAAAGAGATAGAGAGAAAAAAAAAAGAGAAAGAAAGAAAGAAAAAAAAGGACAGCGATAATTTTGTATTGTTTTGTTATTCGGCCGAATGGCGTATTAATCTATTTTTAAACGGTCATGGCGTAAAACCGTCGCATCCCTACATGTTTCTATAAAGATCCTACTCAATATAATTTAATTGAAACTAATGATGCTCAATACGTGTCAAACGATCAAAATGATAGAAATGGAGATTCTAAGACCATTGACTCGGGCATAAAGTATGGAGGTGGTGGTGGAGGGGGTTATTTCTGGGGAATTGGTGGCTTTCGAAATAATAATCCTTCGATTATAGGCGTTAGTGGCACTTCTTTCATTTCTATTGACGAATCGATTGTTTTTTCAGAGATCAAGAGTGGAAAAACTCAACCACACTATGGAAATGGATTAGTTACTATTCATTCCGAATATACTTGTATTGATAACTGTATTAACTGTGAAAACAATTTAACATGTCTTGAATGTGATTCAAATCATGTTTTATATGAAGATAAATGTGAGTTAACAGAATGTCCACTTGGATATATCGAAGTAATGAGAACATGCAAAGTTAAAAAATGGAGGACCTGGTTCATATGTCCATGCTACAATAAAGGTTACAAATAAAAATATTTCTCTCAATGTTGAAATTGGAGAGAAAGGAAATCAAACTTCAGGAGGCCGACCAGATGGTGGCAATCCTGACAATTCTTATACTTCATTTAAATCAAGCGGTGGAGGTGGATCCAGCCGCGTTATATTAGGAGATAATATTTTGATTGTTGCTGCCGGCGGTTCAGGTGCTTCAACTTGGTCTGACGGTGCACCAGGCGGCGGAAATAATACATGTTTCTACAAAGAATATGGTAAAGATAAATATATTGAGACAAATGAATCAATATATAAGGCAAAAAGTCAAGGAAGAAGTAATGGAAAATCTAGCAATGGATTTCCAGGAAGTGGTGGTGGAGGGTTTTTTCCAGTTGGTAAAGGAGGTCATAGAAAAAGAAATCCTTCTGGTGTTGGAGTTAGTGGCACTTCTTTCATTTCTAATGACGAATTGATTGTTCATTATGAGGTATTTAATGGAAGTAGTAGTATGCAAAATTATGAAAATGGAAGAGTTACTATTTTATCCGAATATGTTTGTATTGATAACTGTATTAACTGTGAAAACAATTTAACATGTCTTGAATGTGATTCAAATCATGTTTTATATGAAGGAAAATGTGAACATATTAATGATGATAGATTAATCTATAATGCAGCTGGATATAATACATATTCTAGTGAATTACGGCCAGGATTATATGATATTGAGTGTTTTGGAGCCCAAGGTGGAGATTATTGGATAGGCCCACTATCAACTTACCAAGGAGGTCCAGGATCGTATGCGCATGCTAAAATCAAAGTGACTAATCGAAGTCTCCCATATGTTGTCGAAGTTGGTGAGAAAGGAAATGATAACCTCTACAATCCTGATGGATGTCGTCCAGATGGTGGTTTCCCCATTCTTACAAGTGAAGGATATAAGGCAAGTGGTGGTGGTGGATCTAGTCGTGTTGTTTTAGACGAAAGACTTTATATTGTTGCTGCCGGAGGTTCAGGTGGATTCATTGATTCAGGCGGTGCATTTGGCGGCGGAAATAATACATGTTTCTACCGAAATACTACTAACTACGATGTTTATGAAACCAGTGACACCATATACATGTCAAATGATCGATTTGGTGGCAATGGCACTTCCAAACTCATTGGCTCAAACATAAAGTATGGAAGTGGTGGTGGGGGAGGCTATCGTGGTGGTAAAGGAAGCTGGGAAGATGGAAACCCATTTAGTGTTGGAGTTAGCGGCACTTCATTCATTTCATATGACGAATCTATTATTTTTTCTGAGATAAAGAATGGACAAAAAGTTTCACATCTTGGAAATGGAAAAGTTACTATTCGATCTGAATATATTTGCATTGATAACTGTTCTAACTGCGAAAATAGTGAAACATGTCTTGAATGTGATTCATCTCATGTTTTATATGAAGATAAATGTGAATTTAGAACATGTCCTAATGGACATATTGTTCGAAACAAAGAATGCATTCCATGTTCTGACGGATTACTTGTTCAAAACGATCAGTGTGTTAAAGAATGTGATGAAGGATATTTCTTAGATTTAACAAATAGAAGATGCAATCAATGCAGTGAAAATTGTAAGAAATGTGAAAATGAAAACACATGCTCAAAATGTGATTCCAATTCCTTCTTGAAAGATCACAAATGTGTTGAATCATGTGGAGATGGATATTACCAAAACAATGACACAAATAATTGCACAGCATGTTCAGTGACAAACTGTTTAAGCTGCCCAACTAATGAAGGTACATGTGATATATGTTCAGAAGAATTTGTTCTATATAATAATAGCTGTAGTTCAAATCAATGTCCAAATAGTTACTTCAGTGATTCAAACAAAGTTTGTCAATCATGTGGACATAACTGCAATAAATGTTCATCACGCTCTAAATGCGATGAATGTATCTCAATTGACATGTTTGCTGATTCTAAAGGTAACTGCACATACTATCGCACTCCATCATATGATTCCCTTCTTAATCTTCAACCACTTAGTCGTGAAATTCGGAGACGCAAGAAGAGTTAATATATTCTAAACTTTTCTTATTTCTTATTTTATGTTATTGTTTTTATATTAAATGCGTATTTTCTAAATCAATGATTAATTTCTAAGCAAATATCAAACTCAACGTTCTTGTGATATAAATTGAAGAATATTCTTTTATATAATATAACTCAAAACATGTTCTATTTTTATATACTAAAATGTTTAACTAATAACTTCATTAAGATAAATCTATAAAAATTTCATCGATGTTAAAATTAACGCTAATCAGAAATGTATGATTTCGAGTATTTTGGAGCTTAGTGTGGATCATATGGCCACATCAAAAAAAAAAAATATATGTTTAATAACACAAAAATATACAAAACAATATTATGGATACTGGCCAGCCTTAATAAAAAGCGCAGTATCATCTTCTGTAATTGGAACTATTTTTGATAATGGTAATACTCTAAGAGTTCTTGTCTTCATTTGGCAATTCTGTGCAGCAACGGCTGCAAATTCTATTGTTTCTGTTATCGGCATGTAAGAAGTCCTACTTGCCTGGAATTTTGTCCCGATATAATCATAAACTTCTTTTGTAAACTTATCTGTATCGGACAAAGGTCTACTCATAACATTTGGATCTATTTTAGAGTTCCAGAATAAGTCTTCGCTGTCAATTGAAGTTAATAAATCTAAATAATCTGGATATAAATTCAAATCTATCGTAGAAGTATCGGAATTCTCGTTTAGTAATGAATGATATATTTGTTCATCGCGTGGTAAAAATTTTTCTGAAGAATCATTGAACATCATTTGAAGAGATGTTTGTCTGATATCGTAGTTCGTCATATAAAGTAATTTTCTGACGTTCATTTCTGTCTGCAGTTGGTTCTTGCTTTGCTTAAACCAAGTTGATTCTTTTAGAACTAAAAAAGCGTCAATAATCTTAGGAACGTATACAACAAGCATCCATTCTGCTGGCTTAAAGAAGTTTTTGTTGCATGTTGCAATAATAGGAACGCGAGATGAAGATAATAAATTCAGTAAAGCTTGAGATACTTTTGTTCCTGCTGTAAATAATGCATCGATATGTTCAAAAACTACCATCGAGGTAGGTTTTATCGATGATTGATTCTCGTTTTCCGTTTCGAGGAACGAGCCAACGCTTCTGGATTGAGTAGCTTCGTTGGCTGTGTCAATACAACTTTTAATATCTTTTGCGGATGCACAATCTATCTCTATTAAGTGTAAACAGTATCTAACAGAAATTGTATGAACAATTCTGGATTTTCCTGAACTTGTAGGGCCATAAAGTAAACAAAAAGGCATTTTTTGATGAAAATTAACGATCCATGACTCAACTGATATATATGAATTTGTCGGAATAAAGGGAATATTAGATGGATCAGACCACATATAGGCTTCGGTGCGAGTTTTAGCAAGAGGCTTTGCTTCTTTCTTAGGAGTCTTCGGTGTGATCGTAAAAAGCATATCTAATCCCTTTCCCATTTCTTTTTTGGGAGAGTTTTTATGCTTCATTCATCAAAAATTGTCAGAACTCGGGGAAAATATCAATCATTTCTTACTTAAAATTCGTAGAAATTTAATGAAATTAATGAGTGTTTCAATCTAATTGGGAAATATTTCATGTTCTCTTCATAATTCTACATCGGAATATGGAATCTAGCCATTTCAAGCAATATATAATGGTACATTCAAATACACTACTTATGCCTTGAATTTAACATGTAGTTTTTCTTCGATTGAATCTTTCACATTTTCGTAATATTTTCAGTTTATACTTTCATAATATCATATCTATCTGATTCCAAATTGATCTGCATATTTAAATTTATTCAATCTATAACGAATGAGGACTTTAAAATAGTTAACGTACACTAATATGAAACATCAAGATAGCAGAAGTTCTTCGAGTAAAAAGAAACTAAAAACCATTCCAACTAAGGGAAGGAAAGGAGATGATACAGAAAAGCAAGTTGTTGGGGCTGGATGGACAACTGCTGCAACTCAAAAATTTATTGAGTGCGCTGATGACGACGAAAGAATGAAGCATATTCTAGCTATGTTTAGTATTAATGATGATCAATATAAAAATGATATAAAATCCACAACCACAGCAGACTTTCATTTTGCAAACGGTCTTTGGTGTTTAGAATCAAAATTTGATCTGCCGCAGACACAATTTATTTGCAGGACACTCGATCGGTTACTAACATCTGCAATACAGGCAAATAATTTATCAGATCCTACAGCACCAAAACCAAATATTGATAATCTTCGTATTGATCTCTTTAATCAATTCCAAACAATGTTTAATGAGCTTAACCAAGGAGAATGGAAGTTTACAATTGAACAAACACAGAAAATTTTATCTTTTTATAATCAGGTGTTCTTTAGGCCTCTGAGATTAATATTATACTCCTATACCCATAACAGAGAAGATGTTCTAGTTCCTCAGAAAAGAAGAATTTTCACTCCAATTCAACCAGTTCCTTTGGCTAATTGTGTTGAAGAGCCTTATTATGTTGATGATTCAATTACATTTAAGCCGTTTGTTTTGCCTAAAGGCAATATCAATCTTGAGGATGCAAGAGAGCTAATCCAGCAATACACAGAAAATGTAATTGATATAATCAATAAAAGATATGACAATCTTGAGGAAATGGTCGGTAAAGTCCAGCAAACAGTTGCATCTGGACGTTAAATCTTATGTTTGTTGTAAATAGTTTTTATTAATATTAAATTTAAATTAGAAGCGTTTGTTTTGAATTAAATTACACTTAGAAATTTAACAAATAAAAATATTTTATAAAATATATAAAAATAAAAAAAAATAATAAATATTACATTATAAAAAATTATTTTCTGGAACGATTTCTTCTATTTGGATTCGTATTTTGTTGAGGGGAAGTATTTGGAATATCCGCATTGAAACCAAACTCTTGATAATTGCCTGTTGGCGATGCTTGTACTTGAAGGGGTGTTTCCTGTGCCGCTACAGGCCCAAAACCATATTGTTGATTTTGATTCATATTCTGCTGTGGTACAGGCTGGAAGTTAAACTGTGGCGGAAACTGATTCATATTTTGTTGTGCTCCATATTGGAAATTCATTAGTTGATTTTGATTCATATTCTGAGGTATTCCATATTGGAAATTAGGTTGAAACTGGTTCTGACTCATATTTTGAATCATGAATTGTTGCATCATCATCTGAGTTTGTTGGATCATTTGCTGAAGTTGTTGCAACTGTTGTGGATTCGTTTGCTGAAGTTGCTGCAATTGTTGTGTAGTAAATGGAATAAATTGTTGCTGTGGAGGGAATTGATTCAATTGTTGTTGCTGCTGTGGAGGTAATTGATTCATCTGTTGCTGCTGTTGTGGAGGCAACTGATTCAATTGTTGTTGTGGAGGCAATTGATTCAATTGTTGTTGTGGAGGTAATTGATTCATCTGTTGTTGCTGTTGTGGAGGTAATTGATTCATCTGTTGTTGCTGTTGTGGAGGCAACTGATTCAATTGTTGTTGTGGAGGTAATTGATTCATCTGTTGTTGCTGCTGTGGAGGTAATTGATTCATCTGTTGTTGCTGTTGTGGAGGCAATTGATTCAATTGTTGTTGCTGTTGTGGAGGTAATTGATTCATCTGTTGTTGCTGTTGTGGAGGCAACTGATTCAATTGTTGTTGTGGAGGCAATTGATTCATCTGTTGTTGTGGAGGTAATTGATTCAATTGTTGCTTCTGAAGAGGAATTTGGATTAATAACTGTGGACGTTGGGAAGCTGGATTATTCATCATTGCCTCTGGCTGAGTATTTTCTTTATATGATTGAGAAACAATTTGGATTGATTGTGGTTTCGGCGGAATTGCAGTAGCTTTTCGAACATATTCTTCTTTTTGTTTTTTATTCATATCGCTATGATTTTGAATCTTAACCTGGTGTTCACTAATTTTTGTAGTATACTTTTCAAAAGATTGTTTCTCTGGTTTTGTAATCTCAAGTGATTCCATCTTTTCAGTTTTAATGTTTTGTTGAGAACTTTCAACTTCAATAATTCCTGATACTCTCTTCTTTGTATCTGTTTGTGGAGCTTCAATTTTTTCATTATTTTCTTCAATCTTTAATGAAATTTCTTGTCTCTTCTTTCTCTTTGGAAGAACAATGTTTGCATCAAGTTTTGTTTCTTTCACTCTTGATGTATTAAATGAAGCAACTGCAGTATCAACAACTCCTGTAATCATATTCGAAACGGCGTCTTTCAACTCTTGACCAGCATCTGTAAATGTTTCATGAATTGTCTTGAAGTTTGTTCCACCTGCTTCCTCATACTCTTTCTTAAACTCTTTCATTCCTTTTTTAGCTTTATCAGATGTAGTAATGAAACAAACATCGATTTTTCTTTCGGCAATTTCTTTAATTAATCTTTCTACCTTTGGTCCTTCAACATGGTTAATTTCAATATCTTTATCATTTAGACACTTTCTGTAATCGAATTTATCACCATGGCAGCTTGAATCTGTGATCATGATCATAATCTTTTTGGCCTTTTCATCCCATTGCAAATCAAGCATGTTACTGAATGCCTGGACCCAGTCTTCAGGACCATCACCTGCACCACCGTTTGTCATAACTTCATCGAATTTAACTGGATCAATACTTCTTCCATTTGATTTGAAATCAAATACTGTTGCAACATTGAAAGTCTTTGTTCCTATTTTTACCTCTTTTCTTCTGTACAAAAGATCTGCCATAGCTTCATCACGGAAGAAAACAGCAGAATACCTAACTGTGATATCAGAGTATTTTGATTTTGTGTAATCCATCAATCTCTTGAAAATACTCTTTGCTCCTTTGATCATTGATCTTTCGTTTTCTTTTTCAACCCATTCTCTTTGGTTGTTTTGATCTGCATTCATTGATTTGGTTGCATCAACAACTAGGCAAATATCAATACTGTTTCCACTTGAATATTTGTTGAATTTGATTGTGGATTTATCAACATTTTTGATTGGGAATACAAATTCTTTGACCTTCCATTTAATTGCATTTTCGTGACCTCTTAAAAGTCTTTCGCGACGTTCAACCGATTGTAACCAAACAGCTATGTTTCTGACAAGTCTTAATGTTCCTTCTTCATGAAGTTCATTGAAGAATCTTGTGAAAGAACCATCAAGAATTATATCTCCGCATTTATTGTTTGAAGGAGCCATATAATACATGTTTGCGTAGTTTCCTTCTTTTGAAATAATGAATGGCTGGAATGGTTTGATGTCTGCATCACCTGGAGCACAAGATATTGTTGTTCCTTCGAACAGTGTCTTGACATTGAATCCGTAAAGAGGTCTTTCGTTACCTGCAACTTTGATCACTGATCTTTGATCAAATAATTGAGCATTTTCGCTATCAATATCTCCAAACATCAGCATGTTTCCACCATCTTCGTTGACACTGAATGAGAATTGTGGCTTAATTCCATCAAGTTCTACTTTCTCAAGGAATTTGTTTAGTTCATAAGTAAGTGGATTATTATCTCCTGATATCAAAAGAGAACCACCATGTTTATGGAATTGAATTAGACAATCAATGAATTGATCAATCAAATATGATGTTCCATTCTCATTCAATTCATCTGGTTTCTTATTCTCTCCACGTCCACAAATTACCCAAACTTGTGAGAATTGTCCTGATGTCATGCATTCAATGGCTTTCTTGTAGTTCTGAACAATTTCGCATTTGATTCCAAGTCCTTTCAATGACTCAATAATTCCATCTGGATTTTCTAATGTCTTCTTTGAAATGTATTCACTTTCTCCTTTTACATGTGCTGGCATCATGCAATAATCCCAGAACTGGCAAATGAGGATCTTAAAGTCCCAAATTTTTCCTTTTCCGAGATCTTTAACTTCATTTGGTTTTTGAATCATCAATGGAGTATTTGGCTTGTTTGTTTGGATGTTGCTCCTTGAAGATCCTGTATTTGTTGGAGATCCTGTTCCCGATCCGGCTACTGGAACATCCACCATTCTTGTTGATGATGCTTCATCATTGTAGTAGTAAGAGAATGTTTCCTGTGTACGAGTGATCTCATCTAATCTGTTATAGATATCTTTGTAAACATGGTTTTCAATGCAATTTTGGATTATTTCAGAAACTTTCTTAAGATCAGTATCAAGAACTTTATCAGGAATAAACGGCAAAATTTCATTTGGATTGAATTGTCCTCTAAGAGACTTTGCAATTGCTAATATTATCATTAGAGGATTCATTGACCAGAATGAATATTTGAATCCTTTTTCAATGTTGCTTGGATTTAATCCAATGCCAACTGCATAAACATCTGCACGTCTGCTTTCAAGTTGAGTAATGATTGTTCCAAGACCTTTCATTTGTTGCGAAGAAAGCATGCAATCTGTGAAACACAAACAAAGCGATTGCTTTGATTGTTGTTTGACTCTTATATCATCAACAATTGAAAGAGCTGAAACAATGTCACTCGTTGGTGATGGAGAAGTACAGATGGAAATAATTGCATTCCAAAGTGGAGAATTCTCTGCGAATAGATCAGTATTTTGTACTTCATGGCAGATTTCGATGACATCATTTCCTTTGCTGATGAAAATGGTGACATTATCAAAATCAACAAGTTTCAAAGAACTTAATGTGCAAATAATTGTTTGCAATGACAGGTTAGCAACGTGTTCATTGAAACAACTAATACTTCCATCAATGACAACGAATAATGAATGAGAAAGAACTAATCCAGCATTCCTCTCCAAGTATATTCTTTGTTCTTGTCCTTGTGTAACTAAGAACTGAATATATCCTTTAATTGAAATGTTGCTTCCTTTTGTGCTCTGTGAGAACTGTGTTGGTTTGTTTGGCTCAAATGAATTAGAGATTCTTGTTTGGATAGATTTGATCTGATCATATCCTTTGAATAAAATCTCCTTAGATTTCTTGCTTTTAATGATGAATTGTGATTCATCAATTGCAGGAATATTGAAGATTTCTGAAACACTGATATCTAATGTCTCGTTGTATCTTGAACTATACATTGTTGATGGATTATCAATATCTTTGAATTCGTAATTTGAATCTTCGCACTCCAACATTTGAATTAACTTTGGATTATGAATATTTGTAAACTTCTCTTCTGAAGATAAGAAACCTTTTGTAACAAATGAAGAAATATCATCCGATCTCTTGTAGACATTTGCTAACTCTTCAATGTAATTTACAAAAAGCTTTGGATTATGTTCATTAATCTTTGTGATTGATTTATCTATACATATCTTCATTTGTGCCAAATCATTTTTTTCAAGAGTTGACATAATCAAGAAGTTAACTTTAATGTTTTTATCCTTTAATAAATTTCTATATCCTTCAGTATCGTGTAAGTTATAAAGGAATCCATCAGTAATTACAAACACCGTAGAAACATCTAATTTCTTCATCTTAGATAAAGCATCTCCGATGTTTGAAAGCTTTCTGAAAACACAAAATGCATCAAGAGCAGCCTGAATATGTTCTTTCTTAAGAGGATTCTTACTCGATTTGACATAGAATTGGAATCCAGTATCACAGAAAACGTAAAGATTTGATGGAATATGAAGGTATTCAAGAGCCAAAGCCAATGAAACAAACATTGAGAATGTTGCATTTCTTTGGTATTCAGAACCTATTGTACTGCTTGAATCCAAGAAA